TGTTTAATAGGAGTTACTTTTTTTCTTTTCTTCTCTTTTTCTTTCCATGCTTTTCTTCTACTGTGTTTCTGTTGTTGTTGCTGTCGCATTGCATTTGTTTAGCTGAGCTGCTTGTAAGCGGGAGATTATCAAGTTTCCGTTATTCTTGCATACCTTGAAGTGCTTTCAAAATAATTTCCAAGTGTTTCACATAACACGTTTTGCGTCGAGCGTAACTTCTTGCCACACGCAAGCACGTACACTACACGCATATGTATGTTCGTAAGAATGTGAATACGAGTATATGTTATGAATGTGGATATGAATGCATACTTACCTGCAAGTGCCACTTGAGTCCTTATGAACATTATAGTTTGTTTTCATTGCTTACATAGATGCCTATACAACCACTCACTGAGACATACAGTTATCCTTTAAGATCATCTATATATTCATTCAGTTCATTCAATTTTATTATGCCAATATATTCTCATTTTGTGTTCAATTTGAATGACGTGGCCCATTTGAATTGGGAGCGCACAAAATACAGCTTGTGTAAGAACTAATACCGCTCAACCTTCCCAAAAGGACGAAGTGAATGTGATATCAGACTACTTGATTATTTCCTATGGAAGTCTAAAGTCTATGCGGGAAATCCTTCTTCGATTCATGCCTTGAAGCAAAACATTACTCGTGTCATTCGCCATACGAAGCCGCGGCCAACATTTGAACGAGATAATCTTCAAAAACTAAATACCAAAGAATGTTCTTTCGAATGAATATCAACACTCCCATTAAATTTGAATTTTCGTATTTTTCTTGTTTTAAAGGAGAGAACCTAGAAATGTATCACCCTTTATAATAAGAATAAATATTATTCTCACATAGACTTGTGCTACCACTAAGAATCCTAATAGCCAACATGTGGCCTTAATAAAACATAATAATCGAAGTGTTCTATTTCACTCAAGTCTCTATAGCTTGCCGTCTTTATATAAAAAGGCTTCAAGGTTTCAGGTGGATTATGCTCTCTACGTGCCTACCTGATAGAAGATGACTCTTAAGAAGGCGCATCAATATAGATATTTTCTTCTTTAATTCTATGACGGCCAGGGTTCTTAGCGCTGCCTAGCTGTCCGAAAAAAACTAAATACCATTTGCTTAGGTACCAATAATCAAAAAGGTATATGATTGTCAGTTTCACTTGTAAAGCTCCATAGTACAGCTTTTCGCATGCGATCCTTTGAGCTATATAAATGTGTACAAACTTAAAACGCACTCGCCCAGCTGAGTTGTCCGCTGATTGTGAGACCCGCCACATAGATACCACCCTTAATGAAAAAATTATACACGCCTCGGATTGCAGACCCGCCTTATGATGACGACCGTTGCAAACGAGATCATTATTTGACGGCATGCTTCTGGAATGTCCGCTGACCAACTGCCCTCGTAAGAATAAAGCCACACATCACCGCCGTCCAAGATATCGATCAACGGGACAAAGACGAAAGCGTGTAGGTTCTTGTGACATTTACTACAACTGTCATACAAAGCAGCGCAATTTTGGTGTTGGATTTGTAGTAGGAGAGAGAGTATACCTACGCGCGCTGTCTCTGACACGATGTGAAAATAATTCTTGGCGATTTTGATGCCACGGTGGGCAAATAAGTTATCTTGATGGAAAAACACAAAACCAGATCGAACATGTTGTGATAAGCGGAAGACATGTTTGCAGTGTTCTTGACGTATCCCGAGGACCCAACATCGACTCGGACCATTATCTTGTTGCAGCGAAGATACACATGCGAAGAACATCCGTCAACAAACACAAGGAAAGTTTGACGTCGAATCGCTACTATCCCAGCACTGACAGCACTTATCAGCAGCTCAATATAAGGAAACTGTAGAACGACATTTCTGGCTCTCTACGTAAAGCTGCAAAAGAAGTTATTTGATTTCGGAAAGATCACAAAAACAGCTGGTACGAAGAGTACATTGTTGTCGCAGGAGAGATAGAGCAGGCTGCCTACGGTGCAACTCTGCGATCGACCACTGCGCGTGCGGGATGGGATAAATACCGAGAGATGAAGAGGAAGGCAAGACGCATGTGGAGACAAAAAAAAAACAAACAGGCCGAGATGCGTAAGTATGAAGAGCTTGAGAAGCTGGCCGACAAGGGTAATGCTCGAAATTCTAAGAAAAGATACGACGTTCTACGTAAGGTTACAAGACCGAAGCAGACTATTGTAGGTCACAAAGAGGTAATCTAGCCACCGATAGTAAGAGCATATCGAATATATGGAGGGAATACTTCTCCAGCCTGCTGAGCCTGCTGAATAGCACTGAATATTGAGTATCCGAGCCCCTAATCAATGATGATGAAAAAGACGTTTCGCCCACTTAAAAAAAAACAAAGCGGCTGGAGCTGACGGCTCATCGACAGAGCTCTGCAAACATGGCGGTCAAGAGCTGACAAGGTGCATATATCAGCTAAATTCAGCTATAACCACGTAAGCGGTGTCTACGTCAGTAAAGTGAGTAAGTATTTACTTTGGAATATTCAATAATATGCAGCACCGTTATTAAGGGAACTGGAGTTACAAAAGAACGAACTTTCGATGGCTACTGCTTAATCTGGCATCTAGAAAAGACAACTTTACTGAACGCCGTCTGTTATTTGGGCTCTCAAATAATACATCGGCTCTAAAAAAACTGTTGTTGTTGTTGTTGTAGCGGTTCGCTAATCCCGCTTACGCAAAGGTTTGATTACTCTTAGTCGCCGAGGTCATCAAGTGGGAGGTCCAGGAAACGAGCTGTTTCGACCAGAGTGAGAGGGGGTTTAGATGAGTTGATTTGAGAGGACATGTGAAGAGGTTGTTAGAGTCGTGCGGAGACTCTCACGACAGCCGGAGTTGAACCGGATTATATCCGGCCAGCCCTTCACCCCTTCGGCGAACTAACCCCGTTAGTTATTAGACTGTCTGTCTGGATTATGACTTTTGCAGAATGAGTTTTGTTGGCTGGCAAATGTTGTATATATCCAGCAGTAGATTATGCCAGCAGAATATGCTATTATATTCTACTTTTTTTATATGTAATTAATTGTCCTTAATATTAAACATTATATACTAAAATAGCTTACACCGCCAGCAAACTACAAAAGAGGTTCCTATTTAGATGTTTATAGGCTTAACCTCCCTCATTTGCTTTGGAAAATTTCTAGTTTTTACAGTAATAATTACTGGCCATGGTCGTTGGCGGAAAGGCATATTAAATACTTAAGAAAAAATGAAAAAGGCCTTTAATTATTGTCAAATGAAAAAGTATGACCTTACTTGTCATCATTTGACCTAAAAGACTACTAATTAGCAGCAAGTAAGGTAGTCCAAATGTAAGCCTAAATGGTTGATGCACTAGAACAAGCCGAGCGAAAAGATGTCAATGAAAAACGCTTGATATCCAACCCATTTCATAGCCAACCTGTTTTCTGAATATCTTAAAACCATTTTTTTAAGACAATCTGGAGACTCATCAAAACCAATCGAATCGGAACAACAAGCGAAGTTGATTTTGGCTGGACCGTCTGTACACATTTGAAACATTTTAATGAATGTCAGATCGGATCGTACTATGTAGCTATATCATATATATCGTCGACTTTTCAGATTTGAGATTTTGCATTCTAAATTTGTCGAAAAAAACAGCCAAGGGCTCGAAATCTTAGTAAGCTGCATCCAAATGATGAATATATTTACGTCAGTAGTGCCAAGAATTATCGAAAGCGGGAAACTACAAAGAGCATAGAGCTACCATACCAGATTTTGGTATGCTACACACATATTTACAAATAAGCATTGTTAATCATCGAAATGGGGCAAATTCATCACAGATCCCCTCCAAGCAGTTTATGAGTTACGAAAATTAAAATATTTATCTTCAAATTAAATACCATACATTTGATATGGTCATTATAGGTATAAAGACCAAGGACTGAAGACAGCTCTTCTTTCTTGTTTTTTCTTATTTATTTTTGTTTTTGGAAATTGTTTTGAAGATGACCTTCAGCAGCCATACTTACTATAGTCAAGTAGACCAACATCAGACACTCTAATCTACAATACAGACTAAAAACCAGGAAACCCATGAATGCGTCAAAAAATTGAAAAAAATTTAAATTTGTCATGAATTATATTTTATTTTTACTTAAATTTATATTATATCTTATATTTAAACTTTAGTTTTATTTTACATACTAAACATTAGTAATTTAATTTTATTTTTAATAATGTATGATTGTCTCAAAATAGAGCCGAAGAACTGCAACGGTAAAGATTTGAAGACCTTATAAAGGTTTATATCATCTTTCATCTCCCATAAGAATCCAGAATTGGTTGGTCAGAAGATTTATTGATTTGGCTCGAAATATTAATTATATGAACACGCATAAGCATCGTCTGAGAAAAATGCTTGTTCTTCAAGATTCAATAAACAAAAAAACACTGTTGAGACTTTACTCCGAAATTCGGGTACTTAATCTTTGGTTTGCCAACTTTAATCGTGAACTACTCGTTAGTTAGACAGCTAGTTGTGGCCGGCTACTGGTATTATTTCATACATTAAATACCAGTTTAGAGCCAGAACTCGCACACAACATTTAAGGCTCTCGCAACAGAACTAATTAAGGATTAAGGCACAAAACCATAATAACTTTGTAATCAGCACCGTAGGTTACATCAACTATGACATATGAGACATGTCTCATACCATACCATATGCCTCAATGCTAATGATATAAATACTTGTCTCCATAACTTATAAAAGAGCAAATCGCTTAGTTGAATCCATGCGAAAGCAGTCTCTCTAATCACACCGAACGTACTTAATTTGTGTCGGTCTGAATGAAAAAGTTAAATTTTGTGACAAAATTATTTGGTTGGAATATCAAATTATGGCAACGAGAGAGATTTTTGGATGAGCACAAGCGTTGGATTGCCTACATCGCACTCTTTGTACCAGCCATAATGATACCACCAATATTTTGTAACCTCTATCTCGGTCATGATGATTTAGGAGAGGCTATATATGATTTCTTCACGGCAATGATTGACATAACCGGTCTTATCCGTTCAATTGTCATTTTAAGGAAGCAAAGAAAATTTTTAAATTTATTCGGTGTTGTAGAGAGCTGGTATGAGGATTTGAAAGTGAGTGTTGAAGGGTTTCTTTGGAGTGGTAAAGTTTTAACATGCACTCACTTCGTCCCCTTTTTAGCAACCAAATGAGCACAAGGCATTAGAGACTCTAAATCAAATTGTGGCAAAAGTGCAATTGTACTCCAAATGTTGTCTTTACTCTTTACTCATGGTTGATGTTACGTACGCCTTCGAACCCATAATTACGCATTACGGCAGTGAGTTGTAAATATATATAAACGAAAATACCAATCGCATCTAAGTAATCATTTAATTTCTTATTTATTGTAGAATTGGTAGTGGAACTTCAATTGCCATCGATCGATTTGCATCAAAGTCCTGTCTATGAGATGGTGTATCTTATCCAAGCTCTATGGCTTGTACCTCTCACGAGTGTAAATTATGTCTCATATTCGAATTCGCTTTTGATTTTTACGATTTTTGGCGTTTTCGCAACGAGACATCTTCAACAGAAATTGATGGAGATATCTCAAATGGAGGATGACGAGGCTTTGGCCAATCTCAAGCAATGTGTTGTGTATCACAGTAAAATTATCAAGTAGATTTCTTTACTTCATTTTACTGAATATTCATTTATTTATAATTGCATATATTTATTCTCTATTTTTGCTTATAGATTCGGTGAGAATTTGGAAGAGCTGTACTCATTAATGAGTTTGCTGGACATTAGTCTTTATTGTATATCAGTATGTCTGATGTTGGTCTACTTGACAATGGTGAGTAAGTACGCTTGCTGATGATCAACTTTAACTTCAAAATTACAAAAAAAAAAACAAGCAGAAGCTATCTTCAGCCATATCGAAGTCGATCATGAAAGTTAGACCATTTCAGATTTATGGTATTTAATTATAAGATTTCTTTTTTCGAAAATTTTCGGAGATAATGTTTACTTGTACATATGTATGCGTGAAATACGAAATTCTTAGATAGATACTTTTTGACAGGCAACCAAATTCAAGCTATAACTCGCGTGCAGAATACCAAAATTTCCCGCTCTTATATACTTTTTGGTCAAATCTATGAACCAAAATCTTAAATTTGAAAGATCGATGATATATGAATGCCTTGAAAAAGTCATGAAGCTGGGCAGGTGCATCCAGGTGACCACGGCGAAATTTATCCAAAGCCGCAAAGGCAAAGCAAAAGCATTTTCGGGCCCCGAAAGGAAGGATGGTGTACTGATTCTGATTGTTACTGGAAACGAAACTTATGTTCGTTGTTATGAGCCTGTGTTGATACATGACTCCACACAGTGCCATAGAAAATGCACAGCACCTGGTAATAAGTCTAAGGTGTCAACAGTCATTTGGGAAACTCCTTTTCTTATTTGTATTTCTTTACTGAAACGGCTTCGATACCAGAAGCCTCACAACATGTTATCAAATCTTAAAAACTAAATTAAAATACAATAGCACATTGACTAGTTGGTTCAGGGTTGGGAGCTAGTTCCCTTGTCTTCAGGCGCGCTTAACTTATTGCGAAGGTCATGGTGATAGCCAAAAGGTTCGGATGATTGTAGAGGTTCTCTTCGTATTTTGTGTATTTTTGTATTTAAATTTTCTTTTATAATTCTTAACGTTTTCGACTGAAATATTTATATTATATCTAGATTTGTCTCATGCCAACAGTATTCTGGGACTCGGAAAGAATATCAGTGGCCAATTACAAAAATGTAGGTGCTCTGATAACAGAAAAATACTACGCTTCAATATTATATCTAACAGGGTGGGTGATTCCAAATATCAAATCCCACCTTATGCAGGGGAACCAACGAAACGCGGTTCTTTTAATCAATTTTCCCGGTATTGCGTTGGCTACCCTACATAAGATGGGATCGATATTTTGAATAACCCAGACCGGACTTGGGCCTTAGTGATTACTTGCGGTTTTAATAAATGACAAAAGAGTTAAGGGATTAAAAACTTATCCCTGTTGATCAAGTCAAAGAGGTAGATTGGTCGTAAAAAGCTACAGAAAAGGATTTCGATGTCTTTTCATGGACGTTCTTTATTGGTTCTCACATATAGACGATTCAGAGAAAAACAACAGCAATTTTAGCGCTCGTAAGCGATAGGTTCTTACTAGAAAAAAATCAAGTCTGATCTTTTTATTCTTCTACTTTTATGAAAAAAAAAACAAAACCCTTTCCCCAAATTTCTTTAGGATTTCACCTGGCCGCTGTTGTTCAAAGGTGTCATTGTAATACTATTCTTAACGACTCTAATTTTCCTTACCTATCATGTGGCGGATGTATTAACACATGAGGTAAATTGATTTAAGTTTTATTAAACGCAAATATATTAAGCACAAAAATATCAATTTTTTTGTACGAAAGAGCATGAATATAGCTGAATTGGCCTACAACACCAATTGGATGGATCGTGATAAGGAATTTCGTTCGTGTATTCAAGTGATTATTGTACGCAGTCAACGTCCACTAATGGTAGATATTAACAGAATAATAATTATAATAAAAAAGCAATAATAAAAATAACAAAAAAGCAAGAGATCCATATACAAGTATATACCTTTTCAGCTCACCGCTGGCGGTTTTCAACCCATGAATATGAAGACTTTTCTGGCTATAATGCGTGCCTCGTACTCTTTCTTCTCAGTTCTGCGTAGCACTGTGTAAAATAGTTTTACTTAAAAGAATTTTTTTTTCGATTTTTTACTTAATTGTGCGTTACAGTAATTTGCATTTTGGAGTTTGCATTAATATAAATATCTCATAGAAATTATATTGCTTCAAAAAGAATTGTATAAAATTTAGTTATTCAATTCCATTGGGAACTGCTTTCAAGGAGCCAAAATCAATGTAGATGACTAAGTAAATATTTTGTTCGAAAAATGAAACTTCTCCTTGTTTTTTTATGCACGCCCCGTGTATGTGAATAAATACATATGTTTTTGTAAATTTACAAAATATATAGATATATGTATATCAGTGGATAACTATAATTTAACTACAATAAAAATTAAGACTCACTAAAAGGAATATTTAACTTTCCATTAATAATTGTTATTATTTGCAAAATTAACTTTGGAAAATATTAGAAAATCGCAACTATTAATTAGCAACTGAGAAAGGTATGAAGTTAAGGCGTAACTAAACTTTGAATACCCAACGCACCTTAGGCAATGTTAGAAAAGTAACTTCTTCCATTTTACTGAAGTGAACGAAGTGACTTTAAAAGCAAGAAAAAGTCATTACACACCTTCATGTAGTCACGAATTATATTCCTGACCTTGCCAACATCCTGCCTTTAAGGCATGAAATAAAAGCCCACCAGCTTTTTGAAGGTGGCTTGGAATAAATGGTAGGTCTTTCCAATTCCTAGAAAAAAACAGCAAGACGCACTCCGAGTTAACAAAAGCCCGCTATTCCTTCTCCCTTTCCTCTGTTTGACGCCAATTGGAAATATAAAGTGTAACTAAAACCTTCCCCACTCTAACTTTCTAACGGAATGGAGGCATTCCTCTTTCTTGTCTCCGCTAACGGGTACTGCATCAATATCTTTCAAAGATAAAACGCTTTCGTTCATTTGAATCACTTGGCGCAGCCATCGTAGCCGCTGTCTCTTGATTCGCTGAACTATATCAATGTCGCGGCATATCCCGTACAGCTCACTGTTCCATCGGAGGGGGGGTTACGCGTTACCAACTCGTAGATGACTATAAATATTGCACAAGCCCCTTTTCTAGAAAACTTCTTGTGTTGTCATTGTATATGCCTCCGCACCATCGAGCAGGATGGGAAGTCGTACGTCACACTTTAATCGCCAAGGGAGGAATTTACTGCTCAATTTTCTACTCGATCCAAAGAAGTATCTGTTGTTGATGTTCATAATGGTTCCAAAATAGACGAAATTTTACTAAAAATGCGATGACTTTTTTTGTTTTTTTTTCATAAGATAGACAGACAGGAGATATTTCGTCATGTCCTCGTTTATTCCCAGGCCCATACGCCTCGCTTCTTTATAATATATTACTTGGTTGTTAATACCGTATAAGCCCTGCAGGGATACCAGATTCAAACATAGCTGCATTTAGGCAGCTCCTTTTTGTGGAGATGACTGGCCTTCACCAGGGAAGCTGACTCACGATGGTTCAAGGAGATCACGTGCAAAGTAACCTGCCAGCTATGGACCGCTTCTCCATTAACATAACGACTGGTACAATAAATGGACACAGTTTAAAGGGGCTTCATGGGATTAGGAGGGGCTCTTACTCTAACGATTTCTGTCGCTGCTGTAGGGACCAAGAAGAGGAAGAGACAATCTAGCATAACCTCTGCCACTGTACAGCCTTGACATCCGCATCAAGTTTCTTGAGAAACACTTCTTCGACTGTCTCGTTGAGTGGGCCTCAGCAAACATTGGAAATCTCGTTGCCTTTATAAGGTACACGAAATGGTTAGATCTTTTGAGCAGGTGAAGGCAGGAGCTTCAGCGGTACAACAATGTGCTAAGGTTGACCAGCAGTCGCATCAACTCAAATGAACTCATAGTCGGGCAACATTTACTCTTTCGTCATCGATTGGGGAATCGGGTCTCCTGGTGTTTACTTTCACTACCATTTAACAGGCTGAAGAACTGTTTCGGCATCAAGGCTTCCTTGTTCGAGTGCTCTTTGCCAGCAGAGCCTGCTGCATATCTTTGCTGCTACAAGGTAAGGTTCCGAATCGATATTGGGTGCTAAGTTGAATAAAGTGCCAAAATGAAATACCTCATCGAATCAACGTAACGTGGTATAAAAATTGAAATGCGTCACATATACTAAGCATTAAATTATATTATATTATGCACATACATATGATATGTATGACTGATATTTGAGCAATATAAATTGGAAGTATTTCTGCCCTTATAGATCAAAGCGTCTCTCTCACTCAATTTGGCAAGTTCTAGTACAGTAAAGAGTTGAAGTGTAAATTTTTTTATTTTTGAAATGGCTACAGAGCGGAAATCAATGCCAAACGTTGAAAGATTATTCAACTGGAATCTCGAAGCTTGGACGCGTTTGGGGTATTTGGACAAACGAAAGAGACTACTCGCCTGCACCATTATATCAGCACCGATTGTAGTTTCGATGTTCGTTATGCCTACATTTTTCATGGGTGTAAATACCTTCGAACAGCATATATATAACTTTTACATGATAATCGTGACATCCTCGTCGGTGGCGCGGGCAATTCTGATTATTATAAAACAACGTAAAATCTTAGATTTGTTAAACGATATGGAAAACTGGTTTGTGGAAGTGCAAGTAAGTATGATCTACAAAATAACGGGTGGGTCACGAAAAGTATACGTTTTAAGCTTGTCTTACGGATAAATATTTTGATTGAAATGCCTTCAGATACTGGTTCATGCTGGAACACTACTTTTATCGTGTGGCTGCTGTCGCCGGCCTTAGCAGTAGTAGTAGCTCATTCTGTTCTGTATGTTCTATCTGTTGCGGTTTCGGTGAATTGAAGTGCGTAAAAGGGCGCTTCTAGCGTTAGATGTGTGGCATGAAGTGCCGTTCCGTTGAAACCATATATAGTAGATGATATTTTCTTCAAGGTCCAAGAAAGATAATATATATGCATGATAGAGTAACAAGCGGCATTGACGTTCACGGCAGCTCCTTTCTCTAAACAACGACGATGCTGCCGGTTTATATGTACCCTCATTGAGGATAAGGCTTATGCGGGTTTTCTGAACTCCAAATAAGTGTGTGTGTCAGAAGTTGGACCGTTTGAAGAAAGCGACCTCCCATAAGCCTTCGGCTTTGACCCACAAGAGCAGAGTTGTGACTCGCCAGATACTCAGAGAGCTTGATTCGGTGGTTTTTATGCAGCAATCTTATAGTCCGAACCTCTCGCCAAGTGATTACCATTCGCTCCTGTCTGTTTGTTATGAATATAATTTGGCTGGTGAATAATTGGAATCAAAAGAAGCTTGTGCAAATCGATAGACCCAACTTTTTCCCATACCGACAAGAATTTCTAGAGAATGCAAATGAGGGAAAAAGATATCGAGCAAAACGGTACATATTTGACATGAAAAATTCTAACTATGGCAAATAAAGCCTTCAATTTAGTGCAAAAATAATGGATTATTTTTTACTGAACCTTATTATTCATGCGTTATTTCGTGCAGTGCCAGGCGAAGAAAGTTTTCAATATTTCAAAATTTTTATTAAGCCTAAACTTAACCATTTTGTAAAGTGTGTATATTGGAATACATATTTCATACAACGGTACTGTCATTAAACAAAGTCAAATATCATATAATCCGTAGTGCTAAAAGCAAGCGATAGATGACCCACCTTTTTATGCAATATTTAAAATGACGCTTAATAGTTTTCTTTCATTCAGGAACAAAACGATAACAATGCTTTAGAAACATTAAACAAGCTTACGCAGAAGGTTCGACGATATTCCAAATACACACTGTGGTGGGTGATAATTTTTGGTGCATTTCTCTCCTTTCAACCAATATGTACTGGCTATGGCAGTGAGTAATTGTGATAACTAAGATCTTTTCAAGACTTACAATATATACATACAATACATACAAACTTTATAAATAAATTCAAAATCTTATTTCTGCCTTAACCCGAACAGAGTTTGTTTACGATACTCAAATTCCGGGCATCGATTTACATCAAAGTCCTCTGTATGAAATTATGTATGGCTTTCAATCTCTGTGGGTTATACCAATGGCATGTGTCTCAAGCATCTCATATGCAGATACACTACTGATATTTATATCTTTTGGAATTTTCGCAACAAAACAACTTCAACGAAAGCTGAAAGATATTTCGCAAATGGATGAGCAGCAAGGTTTGGAGAATATCAAAAAATGTGTACAATATCATTGGAAAATAATTAAGTGCGTGAGATTTCAATATTAAATTATTACATTCAAAATTATTTATACTTTAAACAAGAATATTTTCCAGTAACTTATGCAATATATGTGCATATAAACAAAATAATTTTCATTTGATCTGCTTTAGATTTGGGGAGGACTTGGAAAACGCGTATTCGTTGATGTGCTTACTAGATTTTAGTTTGTATTGTGTGACACTTTGTATGTTGTTGTTTTACTCAGTTATGGTAAGTGGAGATACATTTACTGGAAATATTTTTATTACCTGCAAATTATTCGGTTTATTTTAAAATCCTATATTAGGCTTAGTAAAAAGTAATCCATTATTTTTGCATTAAATTGAAGGTCTTCTCATCAGAGCTAGAATTACTCGATTTATGTTAAAAACGCACCGTTTTGATCGCTAACCTTGGTCATGTCACTATGCCTCTTTCATAGAAACCCTTCAGACTTCTTTGAGTTCAATACTACACTAGTCAAATCAATCGCAATAGACTGGAACGGATGGTAATCACTTGGCGCGATGTATAGACTGTAAGGGGGATGCATAAGAACGTCCAAATCAAGCTGTCAGAGCTTCTGGTGAGTCGCTACGGGTGTGTATGGTCAAGCTTTACCAAGACCACTTTTTCAAGTGGCTCCAAACTGATTTTTTGTGCAATTTTTAACTACTGGACAATCGAAGATTTTCATTATCTTATCGACAAGTTCGACAATTTGCCTTCCACACTGCGGAACATCTTTTTGCATGAGATTTACAGTATCCAATTCGACGACTGAGTTAAGAACCCCTGCGGGTTAGGGGCTCAAGAATTTGCCCGCGATAAGGCATGCCTGTCGTAAGAGGCGACTAAATGCCAATAGTTTCCGCGACAGTCGGGTCTTTATACCGGAACGACCCGGATTTTTATCCGGCCAAGAACTGTCACTCCCGCAATATTCTCCAAAAAGTACTTTGGGGAATAATTTTGCGGTTACAACAACAACAACACGACTGAGTTAAGTGGTCAACACTTTTCCCGATAAATTTTTAATTTAATTTTTTAATTTTTAATACAAAATAATTTTTAACATCATTTAGCGTGGTAGAACGCGAGATACAGATCACACAAGCCATCTATTACATAAATAATTGATTTCTTTTTACTAAGCCAATAACAGTAGACTTCTGTTTTTCTATTCTATTCTTAAAGTAATTAAATAATAGCAATCTCGTATAACTAAAAACAGCAAGAGTTCTGTGATCTTTTCTATTTTTTTATATTTTTCTTTTTTCTCATTCATTACTTAGGACTTTACTTGGGCCCTCATGTTTCAAGCAGTTGTTGTTGAACTCATATTAACCTTACTAATATTTCTAACAACTTTTCTGGCTGACATATTCACGCAAGAGGTAAATAATAGTGCTTTATAAATTAAAAAAAAAACATATATAATTTTTTTAAACCTCCAATTTGCTAATCTCTAGAGTTTGAATGTAGCTCAAACCGCCTATGACATGAACTGGCTACAACGTGACAAGGCATTTCGCGTAGCTGTTCTGCTTATTATTCTCAGAAGTCAACGACCGTTAATTGTAAGAAGAGTTTGTTCCAATTTTCTTTTCTTATGCAGTTTTTTTTTCACTTAAAAACTTTATATTTTCAGCTCACTGCCGGTGGCATACAACCATTGAATTTGGAAACCTTTTTGGCAATTATGCGCTCTTCGTATTCATTTTTCTCCGTTTTACGGGGTGTAATGTGATATTTTAATTTCAAGATAGATTATCATTGGGTTGGATTCTTTAATTTTAAATAAAATGTAAATTCAACATTTATTTCAAGTAGAGTTTTAGAACTATAAAACCGATGATTGGGTTGAGTTTTTTTGAAGTTTTATGATGGAAATATATTGTGAACGTCATGGTGGTTTCAGAAGTTGCATATGTATAGTATAAAAACAAAAAATCTCTGCACACTAACTGTCAACAACGTTAGCGGAACTCTCATCTACCTTTCTTGCGCGACACAAGCTCCTTGGGAAACGATTCTTCGACTGTCTCGCTGAGTTGGCCTAAGCGAATATTGTAAATCACGTTGCCTTTATAAGGCACACGAAATGGTTCGATCATTTGAGAAGGTAAAGATAGGAGTCTCACAGCGGTATCACAATGGCCCAATTAGCGTAAGGGTGCTGCAGTTAATCAGCAGCCGCATCAACTCAACTCAATAATTCCTTTAAATGCCAGTTATGTTGTTCCCACTAAACGCAGACGGAAAAATAAGAGGGTTGACCTTTAAATTTGGTGATAAGAGAGAAAAAATAAATATGTGTTATCGAAAGTCATTTCACCGTATACTTACTTACTTACTTTACTTGCGGGTACTACATCGAAAACTTTTAAAACTGGAGTATTCGCATCCATCCGGACCACATGACCTGGCCAGCATAGCAGCTGCTTCTTGATTGGCTGAACTATATCAATGTCGCCGTATAACTCGTACAACTCATCGTTCCATCGTCTGCGATATTTGCCATTTCCAACGCGCAAAGGTCCATAGATTTTACGCCCAACCTTTCTCTCGAAAACCCCTAACGCGGATTCATCAGATGATGCCATCATCCATACTTCCGAACCATGTAGGAGGACGTGAACGATGAGGGACTTGTAGAGTTTGGTTTTCGTACGTCGAGAGAGGACTTTACTTCTCAATTACCTACTCAGTCCAAAGTAGACGAAATTATCTACGACCTCGGAGTTATGACTGTCAGCAGTGACGTGGGAGCCGAGCAGTGAATACGATGACTGTTTATTTCATGACAGGAGATATTTCGTCTTGTCCTCGTTCACTATTAGACTCATTCCCTTCGCTTCTTTATCAAGCCGGCCGATAATGCCACTATCATCGGTAGTTTTACACTCTTATTGAAGAGAGTGTCTTCTCTTTTCAGCTCTACAGCTCTTGTTACTCTCTCCAGCATCAAATTCAAGGAATCACACGACAAAGAGTCACCCTGTCTGAAACCTTGTTTGGTATCGAACGGTTCGGAAAGGTCCTTTCCAATACTGACTACGCTTCTGGTGTTGTTTAGCAACAGCTTACACAGCCATTTAGTTTTGAGAGGATACCAAACTCAGACATAGCGGCGAAAAGCCAGCTTCTTTTCGTGCTGTGGAAGGTGGCTTCAAAATCGACGAACAGGTGGTGGGTATCGATCATCTTTTCACAGGTCTTTTTCAAGATTTGGCGCATGGTTAATATCTGGTCAATGGTTGACTTATCAGGTCCGAAGCTACACTGATAAGGTACAATCAGTTTTTTGACGGTGGGCTTCAGTCTTTCACACAATACGCTCGACAGGACCTTATAGGCGATATTAAGGAAGCTTATCCCACGGAAATTTGCTCAGTCTGTGGGGTCCTCTTTTTTTACCGTATACGGGCACAAAAATAATCACTCCATGTCAAGTCAGAACTATACGGTAAATGGCTCAACACATCGTTGTTTTGAGTGTTTTAAAATGTAATTGTTTCAGTCGATATCTACCTGATCTTTCCAAAGAAAAAAAGGGAAAGAGAAAGAAAACTTTTAAATTTGGTATGTTCTCATCCATACGGACCACATGATCTAGCCGCTCTCTCTCTGATTTGGTGCAGTACTCGCCATTGCCCATGCACTGAGGACCATAAAGCTTACGGAGCTCCCTATTTTGGAAAACTTGAAAACTTCTATCGTCGACTCGTCGGTTGTCGACATCGTCCATGCCTCCGCACCATATAGCAGTACGGGAATGATGAGTAAATTGCTAACTAATATTATAACTATGCATAACTAGTGTTTCTCCCTGCAGCTGAGCTAAACAGCATATAAGCATATGAATATAAATGCACAAGTACAAATCTACCACGATAAATAAGGAAACTGGAAAATTATAAACATGTCAACCGGATGTACGAGCATGTATTTGCTTAAAGCCTACACAACCAGTTTACACGATATGAGACATTTTATATAACTCAACTGATTGTTGTTATTGGTGCTACAAGTTGTATATTTTTGATAACAAACATTACTAGCTCAAGCTCTACTAGCTGCAGTTGCCGTATGAGTGTATGTTATAAGCCGGCGATTGATGAGTTCGAGTCGTGAGTGGAACAGCATTTGAGGAACAGTTTTTCTAAAAACGGTCAGCTCTACACAATAACAATCAACACGTGTCGATTTAAAAACGCCAATTTTTTTAGATTTAGTAGTGGGTATTGCCTATCGACATTCGGAAGTCCCGGGTTCAAAACCTGCTGTCGTACTAACATTCAAAAATTTTAAGAAAATTAATCTTTGCGGCTTGAGGTAAATAAAATTGGAGAAGCTCGGCCGAAAATCCCTTTAGCGGTGGAGTATTTCTGACTAAAACAAATACTCGGTTTTACATTGGTTGCTGGAAATGTTAATGTAATTCGACATATTATTATCGGACTTACGGCCAATACATTGTTATACAATGGACATGAGATAAGTGGGTAAGTATGAAGATGAAATACAAATATATACATACATTGATGTGTTTATAAATACATACAGTTGACTCTCGTTAATTCTAACCTACGGTAACTGATATCTCTCTCTCTCTAATTCAATGCCATTACGAGTTCCCTAGAAAATTACTTAAAATTTCTGGAGCAACGAAGAGAAAGTTCAACAGTCCGCTGCTATTCTGGCAACAGGAGCACAACCGTTTAATCCCTCAAAAGCACTGCTAACTCTTCTCTACTTCCTACCGCTGGACTTATATGGGAAATAACAAGCGAGCTGTAATTTGATTGAATGCAGCTCAATCCTCAAATAATTACTGTACGGGGCTCACTAAACAATTATCCCTTTCAGAGATTCATCAACCGGACTACACCACCCCTAGTATGTGCTTCGACAATCTTTTCTCCACGAAAATCCCACAGAGAAATGAATGTGAAAACACCAACGCTCTTGATAAAAAAAAACCATTGCCATCTTTACAGACGGCTCGAAACTCGATGAGAAAGTGGTCTACGGAATCTAATACCTGACGCTAACAATAAATATGAGCATGAAACTACCAGATCACTGCAGCACTTTCCAAATAGAACTCTTTGCAATCATGGAAGCCGCCGAGTGGCTGTACAAATCTATGACAGCAGGAAAATCGGTTACTATGTATTTCGACAATCAAGCTATCATTAGATCTCTACAACTCTCGACTAAATGCAACACTGAATGACACACGAACTAACGAGAGAAGGAACCCTTCTACCCGGCTAAGTACATGCTTAAACAGGGCTTCAACAGGAAAGCTGACTTACAATGGTTCAAGGAGATCACGTGCAACGTCACCAGACAGCCGTGGCCAAAGTTAGACTCTACTAAATCAAAACATCTTATTCTTCTGGACCTACTCTCCGTTAACATGTGCCATCATAATAACAGCTCATTGCTTAATGGGGCTTCACGTGAAAAGCATGCGCTTCCACACTAATGATTTTTGCCGCAGCTGTAGGGACGACATCCACGCGATACAAGTTTCTTGAGAAACACTTCTTCGACTGTCTCCATAAGCTAGCCTCAGCGAATATTGGAAGTCTCGTTGCCTCGAAATGGTTCGACCATTTGAGAAGGACAAGATAGGAGTCCCACAGCGGTATCACAATCGGCTTAAGTGTGCTTGTAAGGACCAACAGCCGCAGCAACTCAATTGAACTCATTATCTCGCTAAAAAAAAATGGCTTTTTAGACAATTGGACTGACCACAACAGTTCCCTTTCACTGTGTAACCTATAACTGCACTTCTTTCCGCTCGAATACATCTTCCAAATTCGAGATCATTTTATCTTCTCGATAGAATGTCCAAACTCTTTTCTTAATCCATATATATTAGGCCCTGTAGACCTGTAACACTCTTAAGGATTCTTAACTGCATCAAAAGTCCGGTTTCAGAAAATAAGATCAGGACAAGCTTTAAATAATAGCGGATGATGACTACTCATCTGCTAAGTAAGCTTTCCTGGCCTTCTTCGATGGATAAAGACGTTGCTGTCTCAGGCTCACTAACCAATGGCGAAATTTCTTCTGCGATAGATACAAATGAAAAAGTAACGATGAAGATGAGGATGATAGATCAAACGCTTTTACTGAGGTCTCAGTTTAAGAAACAAGATTCTTATTGGACTTTTGTTGTGTAAATAGAAGCTTTGTAATATTTACACAACAAACTAGTAAAATAGCATTTCCAGCAATTTTTCCTATAAGAAAAGTTATTGGGCAGTATGAGCGACAGCCTTGTGCTTTGAAGTAAAACAATGTAACAAATTTCTTTTAAAATATTAATCATTGAGATTATAAATACTCAATAATTCGAAGTTTTACTTATTTTCGAATATTGTGAGAGTAACACGAGTCTCAAATTAACGAGAGTCCACTGTATGTTTGCTGGTTGCAAAAGGATTTGAACATAAATCCTTTGGCCTTGTATGTAATAAATTTTTTCACTGTTTTTTCTTTTTGTTTGCTTGTAATGATGCTCTAACAATATTTCTTATACGAGTATATTTATTATTCATTCGTAAGAATATCCCTTAAAGCTAAAAGCAACCTTTTGCTACTACAAATATTTTATTACTATATTTTCCTTACATTTTTACTTCCCGCACATGCATACATGCACATATCAAATGAGGCACTTGTACTTCTGGAAATAATAAAAATATACTTTTTTATTTTGGTTTACTTACGAACAGACTCAAGGCAGCTCTTAATAAAAA